ATTACATATTCAATCTTTATGTTTAAACTTTTTTTACATTAGTAAGCGATATATGAAGCAAATGAATTTACATAAAAGTTATATGAAGAATCAGTAAAGATTTGATCAATATACATATAAATCATACATAAATTTCCGTTTCTCTATTAGGATTTATATAATATATATTCCTTAATATATAAGCAAGAAAGGATTTATCCTTAAGGCGATATGGTAAATTATAGACAATTATATGACATAAAAATAACCCCTTGATTAATACAATTTTCATAATCAATGAATAAGTTGAATTTTCTTATTGATGTTATCGTTTAAAAAAAAGTATTTTATTTAACAAATTTATTTATATTAATATATAAATATGTTTTGTTATGAAAAATAAATTATTAAATTTTATTGGATTCATTATAGTGTTAACATTGGAGTAATTATGTCAATATATCTGCATATTATATATGATTAAATTATCTAAAATCTGTATTTTATATATTAAATAAATATTAGATTTATCTAATCTATTTTGTCTTACCACTTAATTTCAGTTAACCAATATTATTAGTAATTAAACTAAATGAATATATTCTAATTGTAACTTGGAATGTTTAATGATTTATCTTGGGGGACCTTATACGTTGCTCTTATAAAATTTATTTTGTCCTATGATTATCTTATGGGTTTCTCTATAATGTACAGTATTTTTAGGATTTATTTCATTCCCAAAATTATATAAAAATATATATTAATTATTTTCCACAACTAATAATATTGATAACTTATTATATATATTATTTCATGTCAATAAATTAATATATTTTTATAGTACCTTTTTTAATACTAGTCTACTGAGTTATATAATATATTGTGTTTATTTTGAATTATATTTTTTTGTGACTGTTCATATAATTTCATTAATTCGTAATGTTTTTTATTTTTTGTATACCACTTATTTCTTAACTTTCTTCTCCTTCGCAGAAAGTATGATCCAAAAGCAGTATACTGAGAATTAAAAAAAATTATGATATTTCTATGATGAAAGCATTAATTATCTATTATATATTATATATTTATTATAAAATATATTATAAGTATTTACTGAGTAAGAATTTAATTAATTAAACTTATTCTTAACATTATACAAGATGAACATAATTATAAATATTGCAAAAAATAAAACCCCTGTGCTAGTCCACGTCACTGAAGATGCAGTATCTCCTGATAACGCTTCTGCTTTGGTCGTGTTTATTGGTGGTATCATCAAGGAACAATTCAATAAATCATTTCCACATGCGTAAGGATTTCTTTGCTTGTATTCATCGAATTCACGTTTATGTTTATCCAGTTCTTCAAAAATAGTATTGTTATTAATATTTTTATTTTTTTCTAAAATTTTGTCATACTTGATTACAAATAATCTAACGTAATCTTGCATAGTAGTTTTCTGATTTTTAAAATTTTTAAAATCATCATATAATTTATCAAACATTTCAAATATATCAAATACATCGTCATTCATTTTTGATACATATTCTTTACATACATCAGGTATTCGTACGCCTGATATGCTGTATGCATCTATGAGTTTTTTGTGAAGATCATCAAACGATACAACAATAGGACTTTTGTTCTTTGCTTCACGTTTCAGCTCGTAGATATAAAAATTACAATATGGTTTTCTTTTATCTTCTTTCATATTTTTTAATTCATGTAGATAAAGACCAAGTTTTTGGCAAGTTGAATAAAAACTATTATACGTCAAAGCATTAGGAGTATAAGTATTACTAAAACTATTGCAAACCAGGCCTATTTTTTTTATTACATTTTGATTAATTCCTTGGTGAAGAATATTATTATACAGGCTCTTACATGTGGGAAAAATATCCTTAAAAGTTAACTAAAATTGAAATTTGTAGTGCATAAAAATGATTTACATTTACAAGAAATATATTTTTCTTTGATTTTTATAAATAGGACAATTTTAATATATAATAATATGTATTATATTTTTAATAACATGTAGAAACATACTAGAGTTTTAGATACTTGAGTATTACCCATTATATATTCTAATTAATACGGGAAAAAAAAATATTTATTAATATATTTTATAATGTCTAAAAGTAATGCAGTAAATATTATTTATATTACATTTATTAATATTATTAATTTATAAATATAATAAATGTTTTAATTTTTCATTGTTATATTTTAAAATATTAAAGTATAAATTGTACATATTACATAAAAGTTTAAGTGTTTATATATAAGATTGAATAATAGAATTTTAGAGTTCCTGTTTTACATTTTATGATTTTTGTTATTTATCTTAGTAATATGGGTCAAGATTTATATACCTATGTATAATGTTATGAAATGTTTATTTAAGATTATAATATCCTACATACTGCACTCTTATATTTATTATTTTGGGATTTACATAAAGAGTAAATGCATTATATAATTTTTCATATTATTATATATAATATTAATAAACATTTCATAATATATATTATTTGATTTTATATATAATTTGTGTAAATGCTTTTTCCATAAAGATTATTGATTATAATATAATTATATTTTTAATTTTTGCATAATATGACTCTAGGAATGATATTTATACACATAGAATTAATTATTATTATATTTTATTAAATGATTTGTCCCAGATTTTTTCCCACATTTCAGATTCATAATACCACTATATTTTGAGTTTTTAATTGAACTCATTTCAGTGTTTACTATTTTATTGGAAGAATATATTTTCATAAATCTCTAAATGATATACGTTTGCACTATTATTTCTCAAATAATTACCGGGGAAATATAATATGAGCTATTTACATTTCCACAATAACGAATATGTATTTATGCAAAAAAGTATGAATGTATGTATATGTATCTGTTTATATAATTCTATAATACCGTTTAATATGAATTATTAAATATATTCAAATAATTTTTCTAAACGAATAACATCACTACTTATGGTTATATATATATACCATTTATTATTTATATATGTATTAATGCACTTAATTCACAAAGATATCATTGATATACTTTGTAAAGACATACTAATTTATGGATGAAATATTACTTGAATGTCATTTATATTTCATTTATTATTTATAGTGATATAAAAAATATATATAATAATTTAATGTTACAAAAATATGGATAATATACGTTAGGTATGTAATTATTTTGATTTATAATATTCTTAGTTTTAAACCATAAATTAACAGTGAAACAGAATTTATATGTACAAGGATATAAACTTTATATATAATATTTAAACCTCAAGAGAATTGAAAATATTTTTTATTTTTTAAAATTTAAAATAGTGTTATATTACATATATTTGATAAAATAATTGTTTTGTTACATATATTTATTTCTGTATATGCATATACATTGAGAATATTTTGAATATATTAATTACGTGTTGTTAACAGAAAAATTTTTAATTCATTAATATATCATCCAAATATTTTCATAAATATTATTCTATTAAAATTGATATGTTTTTTGAAGGATTAATTTTAACGTATATTTTTTTATAAAGGAAAAATGTATATTTTAATTGAATACATATATTTTTTTTTATCTTTTTTATAAATAAAAGCTTTGTGCCTAATATTTTATTTTTTATATAATAAAATTTAAAAACTTATAAATATAATATATTTAATTTTTAGGAACAATGAGACTTCAAAGTTTATAATGAGATTCTATGATTTTATTGAATATATATATATTCTTAGACATGTATTTTTTGAAAAACATTATATATAAAAGGGACTATATATAAATGCATTAATATATAGTTTGTTCTAATGTGTCTATAATAAAATATATATTAAAACTTTGCTTACATGATTATGAGAATTAACAACATAATAGATAAAATAATTCTTTTTATTATAGGTACATAATTTTCTATTGTAAAAATGTAATAGGAAATTTTTTTAAAGTTTACCTTGTTTCATGAAAAAATTTATTTCACACAATAAATGTACCAGATGATCAAGCACAATACATAATGTTCATAATAAGTTTAAAAGAGTTATAATTAATATTCCTTTATATTTTATTTTTTATTCCTTATATACATTCATTAGTATAATAATACCTTTATTTATTTGGAATTGTGAACATATATTATTCATGCTCCACTAAAAAGCGAGTTCATATTTGATAAAATATAACCACATTCAGATAAGATATTATTAAGAACCTTTAAATAATTACATTCTATGTAAATTACAGGTATATTTATTCTTTATTCAACGATATACATTTTTATATTAATAAATGTTGTCAATTATTATATTATTAAAAAAAAAGACAAAACAAATAAAATAAAATTTGTGTTTATATTTGTCTAGAGCTATTTTTAATTAGCTTTAATAGGGATAATATAATATTTTAGGTCACTGAATATAAAAGCCAACATTTCCTTGATTCATCGAATAGGCAAGCCAAGAATCTGAAGGCGAATCATTAAATATATATTTTTACACAGGATTGACTCTATTTTTTAGGTTATTATATTTTCGTATTTTAAGATATTTTCATGAAGATAATTTATTCCTTACAATAACATTTATAATATATATTTTTATGTTAATTAAACAATTTTAGAGGTTTATATTATTTTTCACATTTTTATGTGCGCAATGTTAATAGCTGTTTAATGTATCCATATATATGCGCTTACAAAGACTTATATAAAAACAATTTATATATTTTTCAATACGTGTGCATAAATATGTATTGAAATGATTTAGGGTTCAGGGATTAATTATTATGCTTTTCGTTTTGGAAAAGAGTATGTATTTATTTATAAAATCATATTCTGTATATATATACTTATTCAGTGTAATTTTTCGCAATTGATTTTTTTAATATTGTGTTCATGTTAGATTCTCACATATGTGAACACAGAGTAACTATTATATTATGACATAATTATCCATTAAATATAACATATATAATATACACATATATATTACAATTATTATTACGTCCTTATGGAATTATAATTTTTTGTATCGTCTTTATATGAAAAATGTATTTCATTTGTGCATATATTAACTCATTAGACTTTATGTAAAATGGATTCTGATAACCTTCTTATTTAATATGATTTTTAAAATATTTTACTATTTGTATATGTTTAAGTATATATTCTCCTATTCAGAATCACAATTTTCGTCTAAATAAACATCTAAGTACTCTTCCTTATCGCTTTCTCTAAATGTATCACCACCTCAAATGCTTCAATTGCAAAATAACCACCTAGATTTTCCTCATCATTTTACTTAAATGCCTTTAAAGAGATACCATAATAAATAGATAAAAAAAAAATAACTCTTATTTCATAAAAAATCCTTGTATTTTTTTCTCCTGCTTTAGAATGGTATTTTTTTTTCAGTATTATTGTTACCATGGTAGAAGTCACTTTCATTCGCGTACATTTGTTTCTGTGATAATTTTTGAATCTGTTCTGCATATAATTTCTTTTTTTCTTCTTCTATATCACCTAGCGATTTCATTTGACCATACGATGAACTACAAATAGCAGGTTCACTTAATATATAATATACTTATTTTTCCTAATTTATTAATTTCATGTACAGAATAATTTATTAAATTTGATATTTTGCCTAATTAATCTTTTAAGATATTAATTATATTATCAGAACCATCCATGAAATATTTAGCAGAGTTATAATTATTAATGTATTACTTCGATAATGATACAAATAATATATACATCTCCTTTTTTCTGTTTTAATTCTATCTAGGTCGTTAATAAATTACGATAACTTAGCTTTTCCTTTTGTATGCTTATTTGTTACATCAATTATTACTTATTTTATTTTTTTGGACGTCTTCAGAATTTTTGGTGCTTTCAATTCATTTTTGCATACTTTTGTTTTTTTCATACATTAATAAGTTTAATTCGGAATTTTTATCGATCTCATTAAC